CCCCCATTCAAATGTGCCTGAGGATCAGGCGATAATTACGACCTGCTGACAATTTTGCAGTTTTTTGGTCCATTTCAACCCCTAAATATATGGCGATCATCTCCAAAAAGAGTAGGCTTCTATTCTGACCCTTATCTAATCCCCATGCAAAATTTCGTAAGGATCGGGCCATAAACGCGATCTGTATATGATATCCAGATATCCTAACTACTTAGTTTTGTTAGCTGTAGAAATATTACCAAATGTTTAATTCTAAATAAAAATATGCCAAAAATATGACAAAATTGAAAAAATATGAGAAAATTTACAAAATCAATATTTTCATCTTTAGAGAGATATTTTTATGCGATTTTTTAGGCGTTTTTTCTTTTCTGCCAATAGGCCATTCTGAATTAATGAGAACTGTCGAAATCAGTTCAGCCGTTCTCGACATAAAAGAGATCTTTCAAGCATATCTTCTTTGATAGACAAATATGTCGCACATATTTTGCTATATATCCGATTTGTTGGATGTTAACATCAATGTAAAGATCAGAAGTAACCCTGTCATGGCTTTGTGATTTCGCCGGGATTTAAAATATTCGCGGTTAATGAAAAATTTCGAATTTTTCCAATACAAAAGATATGGTCCATTTTACTCGCTAAATATTATCCGATGACCACCCAAATTGGTAGGCTTCTTCCCCGTCCTAAACTCTAGCTACATGCGAAATTCCGCGTCGATTGGTCTATAATTGCGACCTGTATAGCTACTGCAAAATCCGACATTTTTTCAGTATTTGGTCCATTTAAACCCCTAAACATTTGGCGATCATCTCAAAAAGAAATAGGGTTCTATTCTGGCCCAACCCCGACCTCCATTCCAAATTTCGTGAAGATCGGGCCATAATTGCGACCTGTAGAGTGATTACAAATTAACATGGACAGACGGACAGACGGACAGACGGACAGACGGACGGACGGACATACATAGCTAGATCGACTCAGCTCGGCGAGCTAGGAAGATCCATATATACTTTCCTATGTGGGAAACCAATATTTCGAGGTGTTACATAATTTTTGGCCCAATCAAACTTATAATACCCCCAACACATAGTGTTGTAGGGTATAAAAAACACTACAAATGTACATTAGAAAAAAGTAAGTCAAAATGGAAAAAATCATGCAAAATAAAACATTACTATTGTACATTTCAATAGTCAAAATGAAAATGTTAACATATCACATTTTTACGCGATTTTTTTGGATATTATCCTTTTCGGATAAGAGACAACTCCGAATTTGTATGAATCACTAAAATCAATTCAGCGGTTCTTAAGTTATAAGCGTAGTAACTAACACAACTTACATTTATATATATAGATTATTACTATTTGTTACATTCATGGGAGATTAAATTGTGTCGAATTGATATACAGGGTTGCCCATATTCGACGGACCCATGCTTTTTTTTGGGCCCATTCCAATCGACGTGGCTTGTCCGCAGGCAACATTCTTTGCGTCAATTGAATTTTGTACGGGAACAAATGCAAATCAATGCGAATAATCCGTTGCAAAGTGGACCGAGCCATGCCCAACTGCTGAGAACGGCGTTTTTGGGATGTTCTTGGGGACCTCTCTACACGGGCTCGTACGGCAGCGATATTCTCGGCCGATCGCCTTGGTCGACTTTTATATGGCCTCTTCGGATTAGAAAGAGCCTTACCAGTCGAAAATTTTTCGTATAAACGCTTAATGGAGTCTTAGAAGGCGCACTTCTCACATTTTTTAATGTTTTAAAAGCACGTTGAGTTTTCATAATTGACTTCTTCTGTTGAATGTAAATTTCAACTACTTCAGAGCGCTCGCGTGGCGTGTATTGGTACATGGTAAAAATCTGCTTGGACTGACGCTTCAAACGCGGTATGTCATTAAGCAACGTGACATCTCTGTTATAAGTTATGGCGTTGCCAGATGGGTCTGTCGAATGTGGACAACCCTGTATGTAATTTTGGAAGAAAATCGAAAACTGATTTCACACTTTACTAATTTCACCACTACGAGATGTAGTGGTCCAATATTTATATCCTACACCACAAGGTGGTCAGGGTATTATGTCTTTGTGCATTTGTTTGTAACAGGCAATAGGAAACGAGATGGACCCATAGTTCCTTTTGATGATCTACACAGAATCACATTCTGTGTCGATTTATATATGTCCGTCCGTCCGTCTGTCCATGTATTTTTTTAAACAAAGTACAGTTCGCATGTATTGCCCTATCATTTGTTTGGATCAAGGACGAACCATATTGAAATTAGAGATAATCGGTCAAAATTTATATATCTTCGTCCGATTTGCTTTGTGCACCAAATGTGTAATATCAGCCCGAATAGTGTGGAATTATGCACATACAACCAAATTAGGCCTGAAAATAGGTGTGCCAAATTTTATCCAAATCGGTTCAGATATAGCTATAGCTCCCATATATATTGTTCATTCGATTTGTTATATTTGTCCTCCGCAGCCGTAATATACACTCTGTAACAACAATATTTGGGGAAATATAGCAAATACAGCTCAGAAACACATTTGCAAAATGTTATCGAGATCGGTTCAGATTTGGATGTATCTCCCATATAAAACTTCGTCCGATTTACTTTTTATTGTGCACCAAACGTCTAATATTTGTCCAAATGTGATGGAATTTGGCACTTACGACCGAATTGAGTCTTGATCTAGAAGATCAGTTCAGATATAGCTATAGCTCAAAAATATATAGTTCATCCGTTTTGTTATATATTTTTACCCACAACCGTAATATGCACTCCGTAGCAACGATATTCAGGGAAATATATCAAATACGACTCAGAAATATCTTTGCCGAATTCTATCGAGATCGGTTCAGATTTGGATATAGCTCCCATATATATCTTTATCTGATTTCAAATTAATTTTGCATCAAATGGGCAATACAAGTCCGAATTTAAAAGATACAAATGCTTCGGCATTTTTAGTCCTTTAAACGTTAAATTATAATTATAATCATAGCGCGTATGATTGAATTCTCCCATAAAAACTATTAATTGTTATGTGGAGCTCTACTAAATTAGCAAAGTGGTGTAGGGTACCATAAAGTCAGCCCGGATTTTGGTTTACCAAAATGGTTGCGATGGAAGATTTTACTCGAATTTCGTAAGTTACAGGGACACTTCTACCTGAAACTCACACCTTCAAACTAAGTTATCCGCTAAGAAGTAAACTTAGTTACAACTACTATACATTTTCTCGTGAATCAAAGGACCTGCACTCATTTACATATTTTCAAGATTTATTAGAAACAAGTAAAGAATATTAAGTTCGGCAGGGCCGAAATTTTAATACCCTCCAACATGGAGTAAAGGAAACATTAGAGCCCATTATGAACCACAAATTAAGACCAAATCGTTGAAAATGTGGCAAAAACCATTAAAATACAGAATATCGGGAGGTATCTCTATATGGGGCTATACAAAAATGTAGACCTATACATACAATGTTTCTCCACATGAACTAGAACCCATTATAACCTACAAATACTATTTTTTAGACAAATGCGTGAAAAAAAAGTGGCAAAAATCATCAAAATACCGAATACCGGGAGGTACCGCTATGTGGGGACTATACCAAAACGTGGACCAAGGTATTAGTCTAGACTGATAATTTCACAATATCATCGCTGTTATTTAATCATTTATGCAGACATATACACAAACTTAAGCAAAATTAAATAATAACCTTGAACAGAGATAAATATATATACTATGACCTTAAAAATAATTTACGGTTGTTTTTTTTTTTATAAAGTTTCAGTAGATATGTTAATAGAAATTAGAAGTACTATAGAAAACAGTTATTGTTCGTAAAAAAGTATGTATATATGGTAACAATTTTTGAGAGTATGTAGAATAAAGTTTTTCTGCTGTTTACATTAATTGCCAACATTTTTTATTTGTTTTTTAATATTTTTCAGTCTTAAATTTAGCTTTTGATTGATTGAATCTATTGTGAGATTTGAGGAAAAAAGGAAAGAGTGTAAAATAAAGTAATGTGCTCCACTTTTGTATGTCAAACATTTTTTTTTTTTTTGATTATGAGAAGATTTACTGATCTCTAGCAGAATATAAAATATCTTCTATATAAAGATATACTAATGGATAAGAAAATCCATAGAATTTGCCTAAGAGCACCCAGAGAAAATCTACTGATCTTCCATAGGAAGATCTATAGATCTTTTTTAAGAAGATCTAATGATCTTATATAAAAAAATCTACTGATCTTCTTTAAGAAGATTTACTGATCTCTTATAAGAAGATATACTGATCTTCATTAAGAACGTCTACTATCTTCCATAAGAAGATCTACTGATCTACTTTAAGAGCGTCTGCTTATCTTCTCTAAGATGATCTACTGATCTTCTATAAGGAGATCTACAGATTTTCTATAAGAAGTTCTTCTGATCTTCTATAAGAAGATCTACTAATTTTTTATAAGAAGATCTACTGACTTTCTATAAGAATATCTGCTGATCTTCTTTAAGAAGATTTACTAATCTCTTATGAGAAGATCTACTGATCTTCTTTAAGACAGTCTACTGATCTATAAGAAAATCTACTGATCTTCTTTAGCAAGATTTACACATCTCTTATAAGAAGATTTACTGATCTCTTATAAGAATATCTACTGATTTTCTATAAGAAGGTCTACAGATATTCTATAAGAAGATATAATGATCATCTATGAGAAGATAAATTGATCTTCTATAAGAAGATCTGCTGATTTTTATAGAAAAATCCAAATCTTCTATAAAAATGTTTACTGATCTTCTATAAGAATACCTAAGAAGTTCTACAGAAACTTTATAAAAAGATGTACTGATTTTTTATAAAAAGATCCATAAATTTCTATGAGTAGATCTCTTATTTTCTCTTTGGATATTTATGTGAAGACTTAGTGTTCTTTAATAAAAATATCTAAAGATTTTCTATATGCCGATCCGAAAATTCTATATAAAATCATATGCAATCTCTTGATCTTTTCTGAGAATATAATATTGCTTTCAAAAGAATTGTTGACAATTTGACATACAATTTCGGAGTAACTGAGTACACTATTTTAATTCCTGGAACTTTTGATTTTTTTTTCCAGAGATGGTGTTTATTTTTTGTGATTTCGAAAAATAAAAATAAATTTAAGAATATTGCTCTGTAAAGAAGGCTTGATGGTTTGCTTATTTTGAAGACAATTTTCAACATAGAGTACAATACTACAAATATTAAATTCAATAATGTGTATTATGTCAGGGAGTGTGTATAAGTGTTTGAATAGATATTCCGCTATGAATTCTCTTACACTAAAACTATTTGAAATACATTTAGAACACTTACCTACAAAATAAAGTCAATTGCAACATCCTTTGTTTGTTGTTGTCTGTTGATTTAATTCTACTAGGCGCCCACTTGTAGTTGCGGGCGTTGGGTGGGTTAGATTCTTTGCCAGGGTGTGGGTTTTGTTTAAAATGGTATGTGTATCTGTGGAACCGTGTAAACAAAAGCGGTCTAAAACTTTGTTGTTCTTATGTTGTCTACACAACTTTCAGTTGTAAAGTAATTCTCGATTTTGTTTCTTTTCAAAAGAAATAGTATTTGTTTGTTGTCGCATGGTGCATTCTACGCCTTACACTTGTTGCAGTGGATCTGACGATGATGAGGATGATGCTGCCGCCGCTGCCGTTTTCGCCGCATTCATTTCTTCTTCAATTTGTAGGACAATTGCATCGACAGCCTCATTTTGCGGTTTAGAGCCCTCCATATCTGCCGTATCCGCATCCACTTCCGTAGAATTTTGATTACATTGTTCCATGATTTTCTCCGGTATTGACAATGAGCTTTGCTTTCGTTCGGCCAGAGCAGTTTCACTGTCGGCCTTCAGCAATGTCGAACGTCGCTCGTTAATAATCTGATCGTAGAAGTCGTTGTTGTGTTCCAAATTTCGATGATCCGAACGAATGTAGAATATCGAATCGTCATGTTCGGCTGGTTTTTGTACCCTGGGGCGATCATAGGTCCGGGAGGAGTGACTTCGATGCAGATTCTTAATACGTTCGTGCTGTGGCAACGATTTGGTTAATTCAACCAGCGCTGCATTGCCCATCAGCGGTAGAGAGTCGGGTCGGGCTTTTTTCAATACCCCAGAAGCCGTGGGTGATTTCAAGTCAGCATTTGTGGGTGGAGGTGGCGGATCGACGGGATTAACAGTGGTGGGTGTTGCGGTTATAGACGACAGGGACTCTGCCTGTGTAGTTTGTAGATTTTCGTCATAATGTTCCAATCCCTCTTCGGGTAGGCATGGTTCCAGGCTGGATTGACCGGAGAGTTGACGTATTGGGGCAGGAGGTTCTGAACAAACAGATAGTTGACTTCTATAATGGAAATATAATATAATTTGAATAAATACAAGATCTATTGATTTTCTCTATATAAGAATATCCTCAGAATTTCTATGAGAAAATCTTCTGATCTTCTATAATAAAATCAACTGATCTTCGATAACTAGATCTTCTGATCTTTTATACCTTCTCTCCTAGAAAGAGTATCTAAAGATCTTCTATAAGAAAATGTACAGATCTTCAGATCTATATCCTCAGATCTATATAAAGTCCCACTGATCCTCTATAAAAGATTCACTGATCCTCTAAAGGAAGATTTGCTGTTCTTCTGAAAGAAATGTCTAAAGATCCTCTACAGGAAGATTTAGACATACATAAAAATATTTTAAGGTCTTGTGTAAGAAGATCTACACCTCTTCAATAAGAAGATCTACAGATTTTCTATAAGAAGACCTACAGACCTTCTGTAAAAAGATCATATGATCTTCCGTAAGACGATATGAAAATCTCCTGTAGGAAAAAAGTTGAGAGCTTTTAGACATCACCACAGTGGTGTATATGTTGAAATTTCTGTAAAACAAAAAGTACCTTTTTATACCCTCCACCAATGTAAGTATGTCATTCCGTTTGTATAACCTCGAAATATACATTTTAGACCCCACAAAGTATATATATTTTATGATCAGCGATGTCCGTCCTGCTGTCCGTCTGTGGAAATCACTCTAGCTTCCGAACGAAATGAAGTAGGTTCATAAAAATGTTACTCAAATGTGTATTATGTCTGCAGCACTTTTGGTATTGAAAATGGGTCATGTAGGTCCATGTTTTGGTATAGCCTCCATATAATGGTACCTCAATTTTTTCGGCATTTTGGTGATTTAAGCGACATTATTCACCGGAATTGTTTCAAATTTGGTATTTGATGTTCGTAACGGATGCTACAGCCTATGGCAGAAAATTGTTTGTGCAGGTCCACGTCTTCGTATAGCCCCCATATAACGGTACCTCCCGATATTCGGTACTTTGATGATTTTAGCGACATTATTCACCAGAATTGTTTAAAATTTGGTATTTGAAGTTCGCAACGGATGCTACAACCTATGACAGAAAATTGTTTGTGCAGGTCCACGTCTTCGTATAGCCCCCAGATAACGGTAGCCCCGATATTCGGTATTTTGGTGATTTAAGCGACCGGAATTTTTTCAAATTTGGTATTTGAAGCTCGAAATGGATACTCAGCCTAAGACAGGAAATTGTTTGTGCAGGTCCACGTTTTGGTGTAGCCCCCATATAATAGTACCTTCTTATATTTGGTATTTTGATGATTTTAGCTACATTATTCATCGTTTTTTTTTAAGTTTCGCATTTGAATATTGTAGTGGCCTATGCCTATGCAGGTCCACGTCCTCATAAAGACCCTAATACAATGGCTACATTCGGTATTTTTTAAGATTTAGCAGATTTTTTAACGAATTTTATTTTTTTTAACCAAAAGGGTGGAGGGTATTAAAAGTGTGACCTGGCCGAACTTACAACTTTCTTACTTGTTAGAAATCAAATTTGTGAAAAAAAAACTTATTCTGTTATCCTGTCAAAAGAAACACGATCATAATTTTCAAACTCTAGCTCTAAAAGTACATTGTTTAGCAAAAAATTCCGAAACCACTTCTTAATTTAATGCCTGGTTCAAACATTATCCTATAGACCATTTAGTACTTTTCGCACCCTAAGCGCACCACCATTTTCAAAAACAACGCATTCTTTAAATCCTACACACTCACTATTGCCCTTATGCCAAAATTCATAATTCCAGCTGTCTTCCTATACTCTATACCTACTTTAATATCATTTAGTACTTTTCGTACACATAATGAGACGCATTTCCAAATTCATCCCCTTAAGCAAACGCCGTACACTCAGAGTGATCCTAATACCACAATTTACAATTCCAGGACTTATTAGTTGCTTTAAATCAATTTTAGTACTATTTAGTACTTTTCGTACATGTTATAGTTGTAAGCATTTCTAAAATCACCGCATCGTCTAAATTATGCAAACCACAGTGTCCCTTATACCAAAATTCATTACTCCGCCTACATTCCTACACTCATGCTCCTTATCTAAAAATTAAAAGTTCACAGTGATCATAATACCGTACAGTACAGCATTAGTACTAATTTCCAAAACCACTTCCAATTTTCGAGTCCCCTAAGAACAATTTCACATACACTCGAAGAAGGCCATTTAGTACTTTTCGTACTCTAAATGGTAATCGTTTTCAAAAACACGGCATTCCCTAAACCCTATACAACCACTGGGTTCCTTATATCCAATTCATAATTCTAGTCCTATTCCAAAACTCTATACCAAATTTAATACAATTTTATACTTTTAGTACATGTTATAGCACGTATTTCAAAATTCATCTCCTTATCTAAATGTCGTACACTCATACTTATCCTAATACCTAAAAGTACAGTTCCAGGTTTTTTCTATACTATATATCAAATTTAGTAATATTTAATACTTTTCGTACTCTATATAATGCACATTTCTAAAATTACCGCATTGTCTAAATCCTACACATCCACTGTAACCTTTATATCAAAATGCATAAGTCCGCCTCTATTCCTACACTCTGTACCAAATTTAGTACATTCGTACACTATATAGTACGCATTTCCAATTCACCCACCTTGTCTAAAAACTACACATTCACAGTGATCAAAATACGAAAATGCAAATTTAAAGCCTTTTTTCATATACTTAATAAGACATTTAGTACCATTTAGTATTTTTCGTACACTAAACCGTGTGTATTCTCCAAATCTCGACCGCATACGCTATCAGTGACCCTAATACCAAATGTGAGTTTTCAAGCACTATCTATCCAACCAATACCAAATATAGTACCATTTCGTACACTAACAGTATGTTTTTTCAAAACTCAACTGCCAAATTTCAGTTTTCAAGCACCATCCATCCGTTCACCCAATACCAAATTTAGTACCATTTACAACTTTTTGCATACTTGTAGTACGCATTACCAAAACCACCTTCTTATATAAACTTAATTCTTATAACGAAAGTCTAGCTGCCGTGACATAATAAAAAATTGTACTAAATTTAGTAGTACACTTATGTTTAAATTTCCAAAAAAAAAAAAAAAAAAAAAAAAAAAAACAGTAAAGAAAACCTTAAAGTCGGGCTGGGCGAACTTTATGATACCCTACACCACTTTGCTAATTTAGTTGAGCTGCGCATAACAATTAAAAGTTTTTATGGGAGAATTCAATCATACACGATATGATTATTATTATAATTTAAAGTTCAAAGAACTAAATATGCCGAAGCATTTGTATATTTTAAATTCGGAGTTGTATTGCCCATTTGGTGCACAATTAATCTGAAATCGGATAAAAATATATATGGGAGCTATATCCAAATCGTAACCGATCTCGATAAAATTTGGCAAAGATATTTCTGAGCTCTATTTGATATATTTCCCTGAATATCGTTGTTACGGAGTGCATATTACGGCTGTGGGTAACAAATATGACAAATCGGATGAACAGTATATATGGGAGCTATAGCTATATCTGAACCGATCTTCACTAAATTTGACATACTAGCTTCTAGATCTCAATTCGGTCGTAAGTGCCAAATTTCATCCAATTTGGGCAAATATTAGACGTTTGGTGCACAATCCAATGTAAATCGGACGAAGTTATATGTGGGAGCTATATCCAAATCTGAACCGATCTCGATAAAATTTAGCAAATGTATTTCTGAGCTGTATTTGATAAATTTCACCAAATATTGTTGTTACAGAGTGCATATTACGGCTGCGGAGGACAAAAATAACAAATCGGATGAACAATATATATGGGAGCTATAGCTATATCTGAACCGATTTCGATGAAATTTGACATACTTATTTTGAGGTCTAATCTGATCGTACATGCGAAATTCCATACTATTCGGACTGATATTACACGTTTGGTATTGTGCACCAAGGTAAATCGGACGAAGATATATATGGGAGCTATATCTAAATTTTGACCGATTATCTCCAATTTCAATAGGGTTCGTCCTTGGGCCAAACAAATGATTTGTGTAAAATTCCATACTATTCGGACTGATATTACACGTTTGGTGCACAATAAAAGGCAAATCGGACGAAGATATATATGGGAGCTATATCTAAATTTTGACCGATTATCTCCAATTTCAATAGGGTTTGTCCTTGGGCCGAAGAAATGATCTGTGCAAAATTTCATCTGGATCGGGCAATAAATGCAACCTGTACTTTGTTTACAAAAATACATGGACAAACGGACGGACGGACGGACATGCATAAATCGACTCAGAATGTGATTCTATGCAGATCATCAAAAGGAACTATGGGTCTATCTCGTTTCCTTTTGCCTGTTACAAACAAATGCACAAAGACATAATACCCTGACCACCTTGTGGTGTAGGGTATAAACATTGGTGCCTCTATCCTACACCCCATCAGCAACCCCCATTTCAAATTCTAACTCTATCCGTTCGCCCAATACAATAAATTAAATATTTTGTACTTTTAGAATACTTATTGTTCGAACAAAAAAGCACCATTTATAGTTCTTTTCTAACAGTTTATTGGACATTAAGTACTTTTCGTACACTAACAATATGTATTTTCAAAACAGAACTGCCTCAACTGTCAAATTCCAGTTTTCAAGCACCAACCGTTCACCCAATAAGAAATTTAGTGCTTTTTGTAAAATTGTACTACGCATTACCAAAACCATCTTCTAATATCAACCCTATTTCTCAAACTTAACTCTTATACCGAATTTCAAAATTCTATATTCTTTGAAATAATAACAAATAGTACTAAATTTAGTACTTTTAGTACACTTAAGTTTGAAATTCCATAAAAACCCTTGGTGCATCTATTCTAGTTCTATCCGTTCGCCCAATGCACAAAATAAAATTTTTAGTACGATTAGGTACACTTATGAACCATATTTTTGGGAATTAGAACAAAGTGTGCAATATGAAAACTCAGAAAGCCAAATAAAAAATTCCACTTACCTAAATTCTTTTTCCACCGATGGTGTGGTTGATGGACCGGAACTATAGCGTTTGGGTGAACGCAGTATTGACTTTGGCACCACCTCCGGACTATGTAAATCGACCTGTATCCTTCGTGAATCTATGCTGGATGCCCGACTAACAATCGACGTTCGACTGGCTATTGAAGCGCAACGGACCGTCCAGCGGCCACTGTACGATGAGTCGGACATTGTGGAACATCTGAAAGGAAATCGTAAAAAAAGAAAACCGCAACAAAAAATACATGGCGTTTAGAGAACTCGTTGCAACTCGGGGACAGGATATTGAGGCACTAAAATTGTTTACCTTCGATTACCCAATGGACTTGAAACAATCGGTTTATCCTCCTCATGTTCGATGGGCTTCTGACGTGCCAGCACATGCCTTTTGGCCGTGTCCGAACGCTTGGTACGCTCAGCCACCCGCTCTCTTTGCTTTTCATTTGCCACCCGGCAACTCTCGTCGAACGATGCCGCATGATGCCACTGCAGTTTGTTGTTGGGCGGCTGCAGCAGAGCACACTGCATCGAGGAGGTACTCTCTCGGGTGGCTCTTTGAATTAAACTATTACTAATACGGGTACCACGATTCTTGACCTGGCGCCCACTGTTGTGAGTCGCCGTCGTCAGTTGCGTGAATGTGGAGGTGTTGGTAGTGGGAGTTGAGTTGGAGTTGGCATTTGTTGCGGGACGTTGGTTGTGGTGGTGAGAATGATGGTGGTGATGGTGATGATGGCGATGGGTTCGGTGCCGTTTGTGTTCCGTCAACAGCAGGGTTTTGTGATTCGGCGAAAGTAAATGTGATATATTAGTGGAATAGGCGAGTGTTGATGAGGAGGCATGATGTGTGGAGAGGTTAGGCACAGAACCAGTGTAGGAGAGACGTCTCAGTTTTGGTGAAAAGCGAGCAGATGCACTAATTCGTTTTGCGAATTGGTAATTTGGCAATAAAACATGTTTCGATTAAATAGTTTTGGAGTATTGATGGAGGAGTTTGTTTCGTATGTTTAAATTTCGAATTGTTCGGAAGTTTCCAAAATATTTTGGTTTTGGTCCAAAGTCAAAGCAACAAAAGCATGGAAGAAGTGAAATAAATTAGATGCTTGAATTGTACTTACCTCAAGGTTTTCGAGAATTTTATTAATTCAGCCGTTAGAGCTTCACGGTCGAAGGGGGCAGGTGTTGCCTGTGGCTGTTCGGTTGCGGGAGATGATCGAAATACTCCAAATTGTTGATCCCATCGCGTGGTTTGGTATTGAAGACCTTGAAGTTTGAAAAAAAAAAAAACACGAAAAAAATTATGGAAATCAATAATTCCGAAGTTGTTTTTAGTCTGAATTATTTTATATTATTATGGTCTTAATTATAGCAAAGCCAACTATTGACTTCTTGGTAATCCTCTAATGTATGTTGAGGTAAATTTAATACAAATTTTTCAGATACAGATATTAGAAACCTTTTATTTATGATTCGAGAACTCTAGGTACCAGAACGGGTTGGCAGATATCTATTCACAACAGATTTTGTTTGGATGAGCGAAATTTTAAGAGAGTTGGATGCTTATTACGCGTTTTATAATCGTTTTGTTCTTCAGAATTTTTAACCCTTTCTGGGGGAGGTACCAGAAGAAGTGCGCCGATATCTCCCATTTTCACAGCAGGTCTAGTGTTAGTTAAAATAATGGAATGTGTTAAATTTGAAGAGAGCCGGATGCATATTTCGATCTTTACGATCGTTTTGGTTATTCATGTTGACCCTTTGTGTGGGAGGTACCAGGAGGAGTGGACCGATATATCCCATCATTATAACAAATCTTGTGTTAATAGAAATATTGAGATGTACCAAGTTTCGCGTTTTATTAGCTTCATTGATACTCAAAAATTTGAGCCTTTGTGGAGGAGGTAGCAGAAGTAGGGGACTGATATTTCCCATCTTCACGCCAGATCTTGGGTTAATAAAAATGCTGTGATATGTGAAATTTGAAGACAATTGGACTCTTATGTCACATTTTATTAGAGTTATAATTATTAAAAACTGTGAACCCTCGTCGGGGAGGTACTTGATGGAGTGGAACGATATTGCCCGCTTTCGCACCTGATCCAGCACTAATATAAATATTAGGATTTCCAAAGCTAGAGAAACATTTAATGATCCCTCTCTTTCTGTGCAATCAAATATTTTCTTTGAAAATTGCGATTTTTAGTGGGGGAGGCTCTAAAAAGAGTGAACGAATATTGCCCATCTCTGAACTTGCTCGTGAGCTGAACATATCGCAATATTCCATTCGGCAAATATTGAAAAATACGCTCGGGGTAAAGCCATTGAAATTCCAAAAAATGCTAGAACTTGCACCGCAACAGAAAGAAAATAGACTCAACAGAGCTAAAGAGTTGCTTCGCTTGGCCGAAAGTGGTGAATTGTCGAATTTGGTTTTCTCCGATGAAAAAACATTCGTTGTCCAGCAGTTTGTAAACAAACAAAATTATCGTGATTACTTGCCAAAGAGGTCAGCTGAAAATGTGCACCTTCGGTTGGCCACCACAACTCAAGCGCCGACCATGGTGATGGAGTGGGCCACCATAACAGCGGATGGTCGCTCTCCTCTCGTATTAATCGACCGTGGCATTCTAAAATTTAATGCTATTTTCACATTTTTTGCACTCATTCAATTAAATTTAAAAAAAAAAAGTAGAAACTATGACGTATGTCTTTGTTGCAGTTATTTTTTATCTCACCCTGTGTATACGCATAAAATAATCCAACACCCGAAAATTAATTTTCTTCAAATTCAAGAATCTTAGTTACATTCCCAAGACGCTACTTACCTATTGCACGTCTCTGGGATGCCGAACTACTCTGATTGCTGCGCACTGTAATTTTACTGCCATTGACGCCAGCCCTGAAACGGGCTGGCACAACTTTGGCCGCTGAGTCTCTGGCCTCAAAGGTCATGACGCACGATGCCACCACAATGAATCCTCCGAATCCCATGACAATGGGACCCACATAGGAAAAATTATTGAGATGAAATCCTTTGAGATCGTTTTTAACCCGGACTGTGGCATTACCTCGTAATTCTGAGCCGATTGATAAATAGTCGGCGTAGTAACCTGTGAGAAGAATAAGAAAAGAGAGGCATACAATAAAAATTTTTAAAATATAAAATATTTGAGGCAATAATAGAAAATAAATACCAATAAAAGCAGTTTCTATTTAAACTAAATTAAGTTCGTGAATAATGTTGAAGGTGAATATGCTCTATTATTTCAAAGTCTAATCGAATATATTAAAAAAAGACTTATAATGAAAACTGCGTACTTTTATTTTCAGTAGAGAATTTGAAATGTTCCAAATGAATACATGGGTACGGTTTTCCCGCCGATAAACAGGCAATTCCATATCAGATATTTCGCCAATACCAAATTGAGTAAAATTTCCGCCAGCTCCAGCAGCACCATGTATCGATATTTTGGCTATCGTTTACCTGGATCTTAGTTATATTTGGTTTTTCAACGTTGTGACAAAAATGTTTCTATATAACGAATCGATCTGATTTTTTTTTTTTTTTTTGAGAAGCTGCATAACGAAGAAAAGATAAAGTAACCAAAAAATTTGGATATATGTCCACGTTTAGGAAAAGTCCCCATATTACCGATTCAAAGAATATCCGATTCAAAGAAAGCTGAATATTGATGAATTGGGTACTCAATTTGATATAGCTCCCTATAACTCCACACTCGATTTGATATTACCATATTTTCGAATTGATAATGTTGAAACTTAACTTTCATGTTTCGGGTAGAATTGATGTGTCAAAATTTAATTGTCAAAATGGGGCTATTTTAAATATTTTGACTATATTGCGAAACAGATTCTGATGCAATTTGGCATTCTGAATACAATATATATCTTCTTGCAAAAAAATGCAAAAAATACACTATTTGGTATACATCCCACATAAGAGTACCTTCACGTTTGCCTCTTTCAAAAGGTTTAAGTGACTTAACTTGAAACGAGAGTGGGAACCTCAAAAGCAGGTAACTGCATAAAGAAATTTTTTCGTTATCTACATAACTTTTTCTATATTACAGAAAATAATTGAGAGTGTGCAACGTATGATCGAGGAAGTGGAACCTAACCTATTGTACCAGTATACTGCAAAATGTGCTAAAGAAAAGAGAACTCTAAGGGTTTATTATACCTTCAGCCATATAGCTATAGGCGGTATCATTTGATACGACCAAAACTTGCCTCATCGAAATAACAGTTTTAGACCCTAGGTCACTTTGCACCAAACACTTTTCAGGACATTCGGAGGCGATTTACGACGTCAGTCGGTTCGTCCGTCTTGCTGCTGCTCACGACAACTCTCCAAGGGAGTATACGATTTCGTCCAAACTTGGTTATCAAACTTAGAACAAGTTCGGAGATGGACAATATTGGCCCGCTTCTTCTGGTACTCCCCCACAAAATAAATCTTAATATTTCCATCAGTGGTAGATCAGGTGCGAAAATGGACAATATCGGTTCACTTCTTCTGGTACCTCCCCCACAATGGGTTAACATATTGGAAAATTATATCTCTTGTAAAATGTGTTGTAGGAGTCCGATTGTCTTCAAATTACACACATCACAATATTTTTATTAACACGTGGATATCTCTCATAAAATGCGAAAAAAGCATCCGATTCATTCTAAACTGCATATATTCCAACGTTTCTATTAAAACATGATCTGATGTGAAGGTGATGCACATCGGCCCTTTCCTTCTGCTACCTCACTCGAAACGCATCAAAATTTTGAATAACCTTAAATCATAAAACATGATTCCATTCAAACTCGGCACATCAAAATACAATATGTCAAACAAGTGACTAAACTTGGAGACCTTTGATTCTCTCCTTTTTATACCTCCTTCACAAGGGATCAAAATTTTAACTAACTTTGCGCAATACAATACTCGCATTTTCATTAGTTTTAGTGTGAATATGGAATTCAATGGTCCATTCATGCAGGTACCTCCACCGCAAAGGGTCAACGTTTTAAATAACCAAAACGATCATAAAATCTCAAATAAGCATCCGGTTGTTTTAATATTTCACATTGTAATATCGCAGTATCCATTTCGTAATTTATGTCCGATACGAAATTGACAATATTGGCCCATTCCTTCGGAACCCACTTCAAAGAAGGTCAACAATTTGAATAATCACAACAGAAGTCAAAAAATATTTAAATAATCGAATATTGGCTGAAGGTACATATTTGTCGGCAAAAACCTACCAATGCTTTTTAATTTGTTAGTTCTTCTTTTATAATCTGCTGGATTTTTCCTACTTTTATTAACGTCAAATACGATATCTCAAATAATTTCGGTGGATATTGTACCTAAACTCGTCAAAATACCGAATATAGGGAGGTACTGATATATGGGGCTTATACGAAGACCTGGACCTGTATAGGCAATTTTCTGGCACAGGCTGTAGTTCCCATTACGAACTCTAAATACGCAATTTGAAACAATTCCGGTGAATAATGACGCTAAAATCGTCAAAATACCGAAATTTGGGAAGTACCGGTATATGGGGGCTATACGAAGACGTGGACCTGCACAGAAAATTTTCTGTCATAGTCTGTAGTATCCATTACGAACCTCAAATACCAAATTTCAAACAATTCCGGTGAATAATGTCGCTAAAATCATCCAAATACCGAATACAGGGAGGTCCGTTATATGGGGGCTATATGAAGACGTGGATCTGTACCGACAAATTTCTGCCTTATGCTGTAATAATCATTACGAACTTCAAATACCAAATTTAAAACAATTCCGGTGAATAATGTCGATAAAATCATCAAAATACCAAATATCGGGAGGTATTGTTATATGGGGTCTATATGAAAACGTGGACCTACATGGCCCATTTACGAACTTAACCTGCCTACTGAAAAATAAACACGTGTGCAAAATTTTAGCCTTCTATCTCAATTCGTTCGAAAGATGGCGTGATTACAACAGACAGACGGACAGACAGACATGGCTAAATGGACTTAGAATTTTACGCTGATCAAGAATATATTTACTTTGTTGGGTCTGACAGGAGCATTTCGAGGAGTTACAAACGGAATGACAAAGTTAATATACCCTCCATGGTATGGTGGAGGGTATAAAAATAACGAGAGGTATCGTTATTTGAGGGGTTAAGTCCTTGTGTGGACCGATCAAACCCATTTCGGCAAATTTTAAGACTATACCTTTAAATTGTGGCCTCTCTCTTCATTCAGACTTAGCAGGCCGAAACGTAGGCAGAAATATATTTCGAAGCCTTTTCAGAGGTGCTCAATTAGCAATAAATTAACTTTTCTATATTCCTGTATGGGGTCACAGAAAATTGTTCGAAGTGCGGTAAACATATTGATAATTTTAATATACTTCCATATAATGCTGGAGAGTATAACAAGTGAAACGTGGAATTTATACCCTTCAACTTTGATCAAATCTTCAATGTAATTTTTCATTATTTAATATATTCATGCAAATCCGATGACCTACTTAAAATGCTACCATAAAAAGTAGTATTTTAATATTCCAGTGTGAAACAAACAAACAAACTAAAAAAAAGGAAACTAAAAACAAACTCATCAACTTATCCCAAAACTGTAATTATGCAAATTGTCGGACACTTACCTAATGTCGCCATTCCCGCGCCGAGCAGCAGCAATGTCACACCCAAAATCAGGGCGCGACATGCATGCCACAGGCATTTGGATGACATTTTGCCACGTACCACCTGTACATTCCATGTTGCACCTGAGGCTGGATGTGCACGACGTAAATTGCCCAAAGAATGTTTGCGTCGTTTGCTGGCCGAGCTACCGGCTGTGCGCCGGGAGGGCATTACATCGGGTTGAACGTGTAGCTGTGAGTTCTGTGTTGTAACTTCAGACTGTGGTTACGTTAATAGGTATTGTGTCCTGGCATGTATATATTTATATTCTATCGATGAAATAGAAACAACAGTTTTAGCGGATTAAAAAACTTGTGGGGTATGGATTTATGGAAACATCAGTTTTTGTTCATTTAGCCGTTATTCAGCATTAGGTTCATAAACTTTTGTTTAATGTTGAACGAATATATTTATTTATTGAATAACGGTACTGGAAACACCAATATGATCCACACTAACTTTTCTCACGATTGTTTTTTCGCTTGTAGGTTATGCATTTTCACTGCTCAGCTTATAAAAAATATATAAAAGGACTATAGTCACAGGGAGCCGTTGACATATGTGTTATAACATATTTATTTTATATATATTAAGTTCTTACCATAGTAGTTGCGCTGCGTACAATTTATCACCATTATCAAGTATTGTATTGTGCGTATTGTATTATGTTTTTATACCCTCAGCCATATGGCTAGTGAGGGTATATATCATTTGATACGGCCAAAACATGCCTCATCGAAATAACTGTTTTAGACTCTAGGTCTCTTTGGACCAAATCCGATTCAGGACATTTGGAGTCGATCTAGAGGTGTCTATACGTCAGTCCGTCCGTCTGTCTGGCTGGCTGTTACGCACGATAACTCTCGAAGGGATTATCCGATTTGGTCCAAACTTGGTGCACCGTAATAGGCAAAATCAGTTCACTCCTTCTGGTACCTCCCCTACAGAAGGGAAAACTTTCCCTAGAAAATAATTTACCTAATAGAACAAGAAAGGATTATTCAATTTTGTGCAAACTTTGCAAATCTCAATATTTACATCAGCGCTAGGTCAGGTGCGAAAATGGACAATATCGGTCCACTTCATCAAGTACCTCCCCCACGAAGGGTTAAAATTTTGTATAATTATAACTTTAATAAAATGTGAAATAAGGGTCTGATTGCCTTTACACATCCCAAGGTTCAAAATCTTTATATATAAAAGAAAGTTTTGTTAGTTACTACACTTATAACTAAAGAACCGCTGGCCTGATCTTAGCGATTCAGACAAATTCGAGATTGTCTCTTGCCGGAAAAGGATAATATCCAAAAAAATCGCGCAAAAGATAGATTTGAATTTTATCATATTGACTTTTGGAATGTACAATAGAAATGTTTTATTCTGCATGATTTTTATACCCTACAACACTATATGTTGGGGGTCTTATAAGTTTGATCGGGCCAAAAATTATGTAACACCTCGAAATATTGGTTTCCCACATAGGAAAGTATATATGGATCTTCCTATCTCGCCGAACTGAGTCGACCTAGCTATGTATGTCCATCCGTCCGTCTGTCCATGTTAATTTGTAATCACTCTACAGGTCGCAATTATGGCCCGATCTTCACGAAATTTAGAATGGAGGTGGGGTTAAGGTCAGAATAGAACCCAATTTCTTTTGGAGATGATCGCATAATATTTAGGGGTCGAAATGGACCAAAAAATTTTTCTTGATTTTGCAGTTGCTCTACAGGTGGCAATTATTGACCAATCGACGCGGAAATTTGCGTGGGGCTAGAGCTTAAAGCTGGGCAGAAGCCTTCCAATTTTGATAGTCATCGTGAAATATTTAGTAGCATTTGTGTTAAATGAAGTCAAATTTTCCATTAAACCGCGATTATTTTTAGTCCCGGTGAAATCACAAGTAGACGAACAGGTCAATTCTGACCGTTACGTAGATGCCGATAGTAAATATATCGGACATATATAGCGAAATATATATAATGCATATATTCAAAGGAAGGGGATGTTAGCTATCTCCAGAATGGCTGGAGCGATTTTGACAAGTTTTGTCAATTTAGAATGCCTATTTGGCGTAAAAGTATAAAATCTAAAAAAATCGCACAAAAAGATGCCAATGATGATGTTAATATAGATTTTGTAGTATATTGTGACATATTTTTTTTACATTTTTTTTATCGCATGCGATTTTTTCAATTTGACTTATAATATTGAGGTGTACATTTTGTAATGTTTTTTCACCTTACAACACAGGTTGGAGCTATTATATACAGATTGCAATTATTGTCCGATTCTCACGAAAATTTTCATAAGGGTAGGGTTAGGCTCAGAAGGGCTAGACATATTGTTTTCAAAGTTTACAGTTTACGGTGGGAGGAATGGAGTTTTAGAGTTTTACGGCGGGTGGAATGGACGACTATTTTTGTGTGAAAAAAAAAAATACCAACATTACTTACAGGCGATGTCCAAAGTACACAAAAGTCCAACTTCTGTCTTTTTTATGCTGATTTCGTTGACGAATATAGCCAAATATCGTAGACAAGCAAATCATATAGATGAGTGTAAATTTGGAGTTACAGAGGGGCCTCTTGTTTATGGAGATGATCGCAATATATTTGAGGGTTCAAATTAACCAAAAATTGAAAAAATTTCCTGATCAAACAATTGAAGTCAATAAACACGCCTGAGAAGAGAGTTAAGGACAGGGAAGAAGTCTAGCATTTTGGATGACCATTTGATTATATTTAGCTGTAAAATGGACCACAACAACTAACAGCACGATGAAGTGCGTAAATATTGGGCAAATATTCCTGGTCAAAATGCTAAGGGTAATATCTGGGCAGTGCTCTGTGACATAATTTCAAAAGCGAAATCTCCCAATATGGATTTGGACATAAGGGGGCTTCTAATATATTGTAGTGTTGTAGGGTATCACATGGTCTATATAGCCTTTGCTTACTTGTTTTCATTTTGACTTACTATTTTCGAATAGCGTGTTCAAACGATAGCCACTTGTGGCCAAACATAAATAAATTACACTATCACGCTTAAATTTCATCATGAAAACCTTTTTTTCTGGAAAATTCTCACCAAAATGCTTTTGTAAGCTTGTAAACAATAAAATGAGCTGTCGTTGGAATAATTTTAACAGCTGTCGGACGAGTAGCTTAGAAATGACAGCAGTCTGAAGTTGGTTGCAGTTTTTTCATCTCACCCTGTACTTCGTTGGATCTTAAATGATAATTTTGATAAGTTACAAACGGAATGACAAACCTAAGATACCCTCGATAATAGTGTTGTGTCAATCTTGTTCATAGTTCAGTACATCAGTTCCTAAGCGTATGATTGATTTCATAAATTTCGTATATTTCCTATCACTCATACGCAGAGTATTCATACAAACGACCGGAGTCCACGGAACTAGATAAGGAGCTAGTTCGTTCGATTGAACTGGATTGGCACAACTCTACATCATACTATGGTGGAGGATATGAGAACTTTCGTTTTATTCTTTTTTTACGTAGCTCATTACATGGTAATGGAAAAAGTAAGATATTTTGCTTTACATTTTCAACGAAAAACACATTATTTTCAACTTATGTGGACTGGGTTATTTGTTTCATAAAGTTCTAAGATTGAGCTGGATTTATGATTCCACATGGTAGAGATATTGAATTGTTCGGTCCTCCTTAACTTTACTCTCTTTTACTTGTGTAAATTTAAAAATGGTCTGGCAAGTTAAACGCAATGCCACTGCTTGCGTCAGTTATAAAAATCATATCCTTTATCCTCATCCGACAATGCTGCATATTAAAGATGTGATAAAAGTTCAAGTATAGCTACTGCAATAATGAACACACAATTACCCATATATTCATCTCACTGTATTCTGATTGCATTGCGTATTGTGGATGCTTTCCCGCTGCGTTATGAACAGAGAATTCTTTTTTTTAAATCTTCCTTATTGTTTTATAGCCTTTCGAAATATTCATTTGAGATGAGATTTTCTGTCGTTTTTGTTTTGTCCTTCGAATCACTGCCACTGCTGCATGTTGTTTGCTCTGCATATTGGCAGCATTGTTTAAGGTTAAATGTCGTTTCATTCGAATTTTCAGCAATTATTTTCATGAACTTTTTTTCAACTTAACTTGTCAAACGTTACCATGACGAGATGTCCATAGAACTTCGAAATTAAATTCAATGAATTTTTCGTTATACCCTACAACACTATATGTTGGGGGGTCTTATAAGTTTGATCGGGCCAAAAATTATGTAACACCTCGAAATATTGGTTTCCCACATAGGAAAGTATATATGGACATTCCTAGCTCGCCGAGCTGAGTCGATCTAGCTATGTATGTCCATCCGTCCGTCTGTCCATGTTAATTTGTAATCACTCTACAGGTCGCAATTATGGCCCGATCTTCACGAAATTTAGAATGGAGGTGGGGTTAAGGTCAGAATAGAACCCAATTTCTTTTGGAGATGATCGCATAATATTTAGGGGTTGAAATGGACCAAAAAAATTTTCTTGATTTTGCAGTTGCTCTACAGGTGGCAATTATTGACCAATCGACGCGGAAATTTGCGTGGGGCTAGAGCTTAAAGCTGGGCAGAAGCCTTCCAATTTTGATAGTCATCGTGAAATATTTAGTAGCATTTGTGTTAAATGAAGTCAAATTTTCCATTAAACCGCGATTATTTTTAGTCCCGGTGAAATCACAAGTAGACGAACAGGTCAATTCTGACCGTTACGTAGATGCCGATAGTAAATATATCGGACATATATAGCGAAATATATATAATGCATATATTCAAAGGAAGGGGATGTTAGCTATCTCCAGAATGGCTGGAGCGATTTTGACAAGTTTTGTCAATTTAGAATGCCTATTTGGCGTAAAAGTATAAAATCTAAAAAAATCGCACAAAAAGATGCCAATGATGATGTTAATATAGATTTTGTAGTATATTGTGACATATTTTTTTTACATTTTTTTTATCGCATGCGATTTTTTCAATTTGACTTATAATATTGAGGTGTACATTTTGTAATGTTTTTTCACCTTACAACACAGGTTGGAGCTATTATATACAGATTGCAATTATTGTCCGATTCTCACGAAAATTTTCATAAGGGTAGGGTTAGGCTCAGAAGGGCTAGACATATTGTTTTCAAAGTTTACAGTTTACGTTGGGTGGAATGGAGTTTTAGAGTTTTACGGCGGGTGGAATGGACGACTATTTTTGTGTGA